CCAGCAAATGCCTCACTAAGGTTTGATGGTAATGTTTTCAAAAGTGTCTTCACAATCCTGTATGGTTGTAGCTTGTAGGACATAGCAGAGTTGCAAGTAGTGAGTAGAAATCTACCATGGGCATGGCAATGGTTACTAACATTCTAGGCTGTGCCAACAACTTTCTTCTGAATTTCTTCTCTGAGCTTATCATTCATTGCCTGGGGTTCAATATCATCATGTTTAATTTCATGTTAAATAAATAACCTAACATCACTTTCATGGGCTTCAATAGAGATATTTTACCCCTCTTTAAAGTATTGCTAGACAGTGTCTTAAGGCCTGTCACTTAATAGAGGAAGGCCTGTCATACAAGTGCTCTAAAGCTCCCAGAGGTCCCTTAGTTCATTAAGCAGAACCAGGCAAATATATACCTTGGGAAATTACACATAGGTTATATGCAGGAGATCAGCTGCATCAGTCAACCTTAGTGATTTCCCCTCTTTAAACTATTCTTTATATAATTTTAAAATAGCATTTGACACCCCCCTGTCTGTGAGGACCAGTCAAGGAATGTGGGGTCCTTTAAGCAGCTATAAACCTGTGCCGTTGGCCCTGCCCTTTGTTTTGCGATGTGTCAAGCTAATGAGTTGAGCAGAGACAGCCCTATGAACATAGCTTCCCTCTTTCAGTCTATGGCAGATTTCTTTATCATGACTTTGATTTCTTTGCTATGATTTAATCATACACATAGTTGCCTCAATCCTTTGCACTGCATAATAATATCAGCTAATGTCAGACAACACTATTTTAGCACCAAAATAATATATTAATGCCTGACTGGCCATTTCATTGATATTTCCAGTGCCTTTGCTATATGTGAAAGTCTGCATCACAATTTCTAGGCAAACGAAGGTCATGGAAATAGGGTTTCTGAACTAACTAGGAATGGAGACTTAAATTCATATCTCACATCCTTTCATCACCTCTTTCATGCTCTGCATCACCTCTACTTCTTGTACCCTGATCTTGGAAAGAATAGCTTTTCCATAAGCTGCAGCCGACAGCTGCGGCATAGTGGTGCCAGCCATTATGTTTATGTATAATCCTTGGATTACCAAGCAATGAATCACATCCATGATGCCTGCTGCTTCCATTTCAAAGCAGAGAATGTCATTATATCCGCAGCGTAAGCAATCCCCAGTGTGCTTTTACCCAGAATAGTATATACTATATAGGGTGTAGAGGATAGGGCCTCCTGTTCGCTTAGCTATACAGCCTATACAGAATACTTAGCCTTATTATAGTACACAGTTGATTCTTAATGCACCCTAAGCTCTAAAATAGCGTTAGGTCTGATCTTAGGGTAATTATAGGTAATATAGGTAAGAACAGGGTAAGATTAGGTAAGGGTAGGGCTAAAATTCTAATCTAGCATCAGAGACTGTTTCTTGAGAAGTTCTAACTTCCTCCTCTGCAATCAGTCTTATATACAGTCTTTCTCCCTTAGCCAAGGAAAGGGGTAAACAGCAGAATAGGATAGATCACATAGAGAGATAGGTTAGAGCATAAGGGATTTTGTTCAGGTTTTCATCAGAAAACAGGTGCTGAAATGGGGGTAGCTCACCGCTGATTCCCTACCAGGCCTAAAACAGTTCTGCTTATGCCTGATACTTTATAGAAGCAGTAGAGCCTTGTCACATGGCTAGTCATTTATGAGTCCGGATTCAGTGTAGCTGAGGTCATAAAATTCTCACATTTCAGATCAGTGCAATGTTCCGCGCCCCTAAGGCAACCAAAATTAACAAATATAGGCAAACTCTAAGGTCAATTTTCCTGAGAACTAGAGGGACCAGAAAAAACACATGAGCCCTCTGATGTACTCAAGTTTTGCATAATAGGAATGTGATTGTCAAAGCTAGTACCAGTTTCATATGTTGCTATAAGGTGACGAAAAGCTATACATGTACACTAATGAGATGTGTAGCATGATCAAAGCCCAGTAAAGCAGCTGCTCCTCCTTCAAGGCTTGATAATTTCCAGATCTTCTTCTGTAAGCTCGCTGTCATTGAGATCTCCATCGAAATGCTCAGGCGAGATTAGCTTTGCATCTTCGACATGGTCGGCACGCGCCTCCAACGCATCAAACTTGCCGTCTTCTGAATTGCCATCTACTTTGACGACAGGTAGAATGTCGCCATGTCCCCAAGTTTCAGTGCGGCCCAGTTGAGGTTGCTCTCCTCAGAATGAAGGAAAGGCATCCCGATTGAGTCCATACGCTTTCCAATCTTGCCCTTAGAGCTACCAGCTGCATGGTAATATGCAAGGCTACCTCCCACCTTGGCCATCGTCCAAACAAAGTCATTAAGGTTTACTTTCTTGCCAAATACAGTCACAGTAGGTTTCTTGCAAATACTGTCGTCAGGAGGCTCTTGGTGTAGCACCCGGCAAATTTCGCCGAGATTGCCTGTGAAGGTGATTCTGAACCATTCTCCAAAATTAATATCACTTCGGCGAAAGCCTGTGGTAATAGCGCCTGATTGCCCTATTGTATGGATGCATTAGTGAAATTACTTGCCAAGCCATCATAGAACATACTCTGTTGTTGTGCCCTAGTGGCTGGAAGCAACAGGGCGTTGGAGCCCCCTTGGACTGTGCTCTCCCAGGGAAACTCTTCCGCACTATTGGTCTCTGACGACCCAGGCTGGGAATTGATCTGTATGATGCTTGGGGACGTTGTCCTTTCTAAAAGGCTTCGCTTTTGCCCCCGGACTCGTATAATGGGTTTCCCTTAAACCAGTTGTTGGGTTTCTCTGCCTATCGGTTGGTCTATTAGTGAATGGACCTGGTAGCTGGGCAATGAGGTATGTTGCTCACCAAGTTCTTTCTCCACCTTTTAAACAAAGCATTACATAGCAGTCCTCTTCCGCGATGTCTTCCCATCCTGTGATGTCAAATGTTGCAGCTTTGAGATTGCCTTTCGATCCACCAGGGGCAGTATCGCCAGTGCGTGCAAGCAGCCCTGTTTCGTCTTTAGGTTCAATGACTGGAGTCGCAAAGACTGGAAACAAGCAGAGAAAGAGCAAAGAAGTTGGTGAACAAGATATTTGAACAGCGTATTGAATCGTTGTATGCCTTTGTAGCAGTTGAATAGAAAGAAGTCTGTATGTTCGATGTTAATCACAGATACTACAGCTTCCAATCCTTCTGAGCGCCTCTTATATACTCATTTTCCTAAATTTTCCGGGTTCAGACATGTGCCATCAGCACTCAACGATGTAGGTTAATGTCTCGCCGAGGGCCCGTCGTAGATCTACCGGGTAAAGATAAGGTGGCGGAGTATCGATGACTGGAAGCGTGTATTTGACCAACTGGGGCCACATGAGTGATTCCAAGGACAACTGAAGCCAGTGAGACATGTAATTAGTGGTTTCATCTACCCTGCAGGCTACTACTATCACAGACCCTCAAAAGGAGCCGGGGCGGAATCCTTGGGGCGATGAGCCTCGCTGAAGATGGTCAAATATCCTTGGGGCACTGTCTGTGAGGCTTACTGCCACCGTTCTCTATCCATGTTGGATCCAGGAATGCGGAGGTAGACCAAAAACTGGAGCAGTTGAAGCGAGCAGCTGGTGTTGAGTTAAGGCTTGTGGGTGGAAGCGGGCGATGAATTTCTATGCGCAATTCACTCCTGATGGAAAAGTACTCAAGTCATCAAGACGAGCTACAATTCGATTTGGTGTGCAAACTTTAGTCCATCGCAAAAGAGACTATCTGACGAATATGGGCATTTCAAACTGAAGAGATTTATTTTGGTGTATAGCAATTTTGCGTGCAAAGTTGTCTCTAATCTACAGGACGTCGCCTGGCATACAAGGCTCTATTTGGCGTACAATGCACATTCCGAATTCGATGAGAGAGGCTAAAATGACTCGCCGGAGGTTCCATCGCGTGTCTTGTTGTTGACATTGAAGCAAGCATCAAATCTCGGGGGCGGTTTGTGTGCCAGATTCAATTCGTGAGCGGCCTATAAGCAGTCAGCGGCTCGATCAATCGCAAGACTCATCTAGGTATTGATTGGCTCAGAAGAAGAATGATGTGGCGGAGACCCATGTGTGTAGGCCGGTTGCTATCTCAACCATTGCACCGAGGTGTCATATGGATCCGCAATAAATATAGCAATGAAACATAGTACTCCAAATATTTTTCAGGCTATGGGGGTCGCGCTTCATGATACTTGCCAAGTAAGACCGAGCTCTGGTAAAGCATGGTATGTGACAAACCCTAAAACCTTCCCTAGAGCTTTGCGTTACCCCAATAGTCTCTTCATATACTGAGGTCACGGGAAACGAGGAATGAGTGTCTGGCATAAAGAAGCAACATGTATGATTTTAGGTATCCGCGAATTCGTAACATTGATTCCATTGCGCAGGAAGAGCATCCTACCGACCGCATCTGCCATGTACTGCAAATGGACGGTAAAGGTAAGACAACAGGATCCAATTCTTCCATTTACAGGAGCTGACAACATAGACCGCTCCGATGGATGATGCTTTCCATCTTCTGCAGCTATTCACTAAGTTATCCAGCCACAGATCACTAAGTATAGGCCTCGATCAGCAGCAGGCAGAAGCTCCTGTCCAAGGTTGAGATGCACTGTTTAGTGTGTGTAAATCTGCAAGCTTATAGTAATATATATCATTTAGCTTTGCTTCGTATCATAATTGTAGGCACCGTGTCATGTTATTTGCTATGCAAATTATGGCAAGGGAGCAAACACAAGAGAATAAGTGGATATTTGAAGAGCCAAAAAAATGATAAGTGCAATTTAGGGTTATTTTACGGATTATTTTACTTGCATGATCTCAAGAGAAGATAACGAAGGGGAGAGGGTAAAGGAGTAGGATAGAAGTGATTTAGGAGCCAAGTTATATTGACCTTCTTAAGAGGATATACACAAAAAGCTACAGATGATTCTCCTCTCTGGCGATAGATAAATCAAATTAGAGGCTCGAAGAGTGTTAGACCTCCTCATCCGACAAAAACTTTTCCACTTTCCTCATTTCGAAGACGCCAGCCTCATTTGTGAATTTCTCTGGGTAGCCGAAGAACAATGGATAGGAAACGTCTGGTTCGGCATTTAAGAGAGTACCTTGGAATTGTTCTGAATCGGTATGATGGACTCTGAAATCGTACCAGGTATTGTTCTTTGGCGGGAGCGGCCCATGCTCGTCAAATTCGACAGGAAACACGTCCGGTGGACAGTCATAATAATAGCTCATGAGAAGAGTCCCGTCCTCAGCACTTCTTGCATCTGCGATGGTGATAATTCCCTGTTCGATGAAATTGTATTTGGCAGGTTGGCGCCACTTGTCTATAGCCCAGTTCTGGCATTCCTCTTTAGAGGCGTTGATGAAGTCTGACTGGCAAAATTCCCCATCTTGTAAACCCGATCTGAAATGCTCCTGTGAATCTGGGCAGACTCTCGATTCAACAAGATAGTACCAATAAGGAAAGTCTCGTGGCTCTGTGCTGAATTCGCGTAAGGCCTTAGGTACGAACTAGTGATTTCGCGGTCAGCCGCGGTTTCTTAGGTCCGACCTCCAACAGGCTATCATTGTGGCACCTATAATCCGTAACGCACTAGACTTACAGGCTTAGCGTCTTCAGCAATACAGAAGAACAAGGCGCGTGTCATCGTAGGGCCTTTATGCTAGCGACGAAATGAGGTTTCAAGGGCATATGACGGCTTACTCTCCAACAGGATGAGACTTTACAGAGTCTTTATATAGATTCCAAACGGCGAAGATACGATGATGTCATACCTAGTCTATCAGATAGAGGGACGAAGGAGTCGGGATAACTTGCAAAGTACTAAAAAGTGTTGGCAAGCTGGTAAATCTGATTGGTAGATTAGCAAGTTGGCCCCGGGGGCTGCTCCAGCCTACAAGCTTCCGCCCCTCCCCGCCCCGCACCGCCCGACTGAACTCATAGTATACACTATGTATAGAGTACTACATCTATTGATAATCTAAATTGAAACCGACGAAAAAACTAAGACTAATCATAAGCTACCTGAACTACTCCACTTTTATTACCGTAGAACCAGTTTGTTACGGCCCCTTACAAACAATACCATATTTTTCCGGACCCTCGCCGCTACACAAACGATATTGCTATTAAGATAGGTTGCCTCATGGTAAATGCTGGAGTCGACTGAGTTTCTACCAGATCGGGACAGACGCAGAACTTGGGTTGTTCAACCTTGAATACATCACCTACCTGTCAGCGGTGTGGATGGAATTGCGAAGGAAGAGAGAATTCCCCAGTTCTCAGTATCGTCTTGGATCCTCATCCCCGCCGTCTTGGCGCGGAGTCCGAAGTGGCTAGAGCCTGAGGATGACGGACTCCGATGAGGCCGCGATGCAATGTATAGGAAGTCAAGCTGAGGCATTTTTCTAGCGAGGGGTCTACAGGGGTTTAAGATATACAGTGGCCAACAGGTTGAGTGGTGAAAGGCAGGAGATTAAACATCTTGTACATGGAAAACAAAAAGGGTTGTTTTCTCCAAACGAGATCCAGCAAACCAGAGGCGGGAAGGGCGAGTAATCAGCATGCGGCTTATGAAGGCTCGCCAACATAAACGATCTAAACCAAGAAGCTGCGCTAATCGCGTACCTCTACCCAGTCCATCACTGAAACAAAGCCTTTGTCCGACTGAACTCTGTCGCAAGGCTCTGAAAGTATGTATCAACCAAAGTAGAGTTTTCCGCTGGAAGTTTAGTTCGTGTTATTTGGTGAAAACGACCAACTTGAGAGGAAAACCCGTGAACTATACCCCCGGCTATTGGACTCATATCAAGAGATTCCACAACTGAATTCTGATTTGCAGAGTTGGTCAGAATGATGATCCGCAAAATATGTATGGATATAGAAATGGTTATGTTCCTACTTTAGAGGCAACAGATTGAAGCACCTTCAGCACAGAGTCGTGGAAACCTTGCATATGATTCATCAACTCAAGCATCTCATCGCCGGTGAAAACGTCACACTGATCGGCTTGATCAAATGTTTCGCGGCGAGCGGACTCAAGCCTGTAGAGAGACTTTGCAACCGACATCGTTTCCATCTGCCGCCATTGAAGCCATCCAAAGCGGCCCTGGCATCATCGATGCGAGTGTGAAGATCTGATGTTTTTGAGCCGAAAGTGCTGAAAGCGCTTGAGGTTGCCCACACGGGTGACAGAATCGTCAGGCTCAGGGTTAAGAATAGACTACCGAAGCTGAATATCCTGGAGTGCCACATGTTTTTCCTTAGCTTCAATCAATGCAATCGTGGATAGTAAAGGAACAAACCCTGGGGGCTGTCTGTGATATGACGTAGTCATGAACCAGGAGAAACCTGTCCATGCAATACATAATCAGGCACAAAACAATGAAAGGCATGTTGCGGGGCAGCATGAAAGGAGCAAATAAAGGAGTCATTCATTGAAGCTAGTTGCACCGCAGTATATAAGTTGGGAAGATTTTCGGAACAGACATGACCTTGCCATTCCAGCGAAATGGCCCATGTGTAGCCACAGGATGTACTTTGAGGTCACCAGACCTGATCCACCTAGAGCATAGAGAAGGGCAAACAAAGATCGACGCAGTAATCAGCTGTGGTAGCCATGCCATGAATGACAGCATCTTTGAATGATAGGCACTAGAGCATCAATAACGCTATGTAATGCATACATTCACCGTCGTCTCCAGTAATGGCTCCTGTGAGCTGGCATTGTCGTCTACGTATCCTAGCAAAAGTATCCTATTTTGTTCCGGCAGCCCACGATGGCAGAACAGGTAGAATTGGTGGGGGGTGGCTCATGCGAGTGTTCCTGTGGCCACGTCCGTCTTTCCTGACGAGCCTCCTCACCGGAATATAGTGGTGCGTCGGTTTGAGGAAGCTAGCCACCCAGTGAGCCAACGGATTTGGCAGCCAATCACTATTATTAGCAAACCAGGAAACAACAGATATAAGAAAATACAAAATCAAAAGTCCCATTTTTGAAGCCACCGTTTCATCATTTCTGGGCTAATGCGGTCCATTTCCCGCAGAGTCTCGCTCGCCGTCTCACTTTGCTTGGTATCGATTAACGGTGCGAGCCATCCCTGGTTGATTAGGTCTGCCATCTGCCGGACCAGTGGCAGTAGGTTCAGTAAGGGCAATCTCTCCTTGGCGTCCGTAGTGGCGTGGTCAAACTTCACCAATTCGTCGAGCCAACACCCAAATTCCACAGCCTCTACCGGATACTTCTCCTCAATCACAGGTAAAAGTGACTCCCAACGGGTTTTGTGTGGATTGACCAGGTGAAACACGGCTGCGGAGGAAGCTCCGGCAGGTGATCTTGATTCAAAGATTTCGCTGATAGCCTTGGCCAATTGATCCTGCGGTTCATTAGTTCAGCAGAAGCATAATCCGAGCCAGTTTACTAACCACAGGCAGCCAATCGATTTCCCTGGGTCCCAATGACCTAGGGACTTTGCCCAATGTCTTCGACGTCAGGACCAATGAAGGGAACCATTCGGCTTTGTTCCAAATCCCACCGCTTCTGCTACCGGCGATCTGTCCAATTCGGTAAATCGTGGTGGGGATCCCCCAGTTACTGGATGCAAGAGCGCACATCCGTTCGGCGATGTATTTCGACTCGGCGTACCCGCTTGGCCAAACCAAACTCGGCATTTCGTTCGGGGTCTCAGCAATTGGTGAGAGCGATGGTGTCTTGCTGGCCAACACGGTTGCCAATGAGGACATGAAGTGTACATGGGCCCTGTATCGACAGCAGCGGCTAAGCTCTAATAGGCGAGAAAACCCTTGTATGTGTATCGGCTCGAAGGCGGCCAACGGCTTCAAAAAGTTTACATCCCAGGCACAGTGAATAATAGAGTTTACCGATAATCTCAGTTCCTCATATTTTGTATCTGGAATGCCTAGGTTGGGGGCCGGGAGGTCAGCATGGATGAATTCAACTCGATCCTCAAGGCCATCAGGGATGTCGAGGCCCCGAAGCCGGAAGCTGCGTATTTGTCGACCCGCAGCATCATCAGACCGACAGAGGCAATAGATTTTGAGAATACTGTGGATCTGAAGGAGCTCGAACAGAATATAGCACCCCAAAGATCCTGTCGAGCCGGTGAGGATGACAACATACCGATCATCTTGTGTCTGTTTGTCGAAGGACATATTTCCACGGCTCTCTTGAAATAGTTCAAGATGAGTGTTTAATAATTCAGGGAGGCTGCTGGCATTATTAGCATCCTGCACCTGTGGACAAGCAGCGACTTCCAGACTATCGGCAAAACACTCTGGTAACTTGGATTGCTTGTCGTTACTCTTCCAATCCGTTGACACCATTTCTCGCTGGTGAAGCTCTTTCAGCTGATCAACCGCAAGCTCACCAAGCTTTTGGAAGCTGTCAGCATTGAGCAACTGCAGAAGAGTCACTTCAACTCCGAAAGAGGCTCTCCACCAGTTTTTTAGTTCGACGCCCACAAGGGAATCGACACCGAGTTGGCTGAGTGTCGCAAGTTCGAAATCACTTTGCCCTTCAATCATCATCAGACTTTGAACCTGTTGTTGGATCTCCTTGGCAACAATGCTGGCTGAGTTCTGACCATAGAGGATTGTTGGATCGGCTTTTGCATCGACTAAAAACCTGCCAACCATGGAACCTCTTTGTTTTCGTACGGTCTGGTCTTTTCTTAGGTTAAAGTAGACTGCCAATCGCGGATCGCGTGCCACAAACGAGGTTGTAGCGGCCGGAACCAACCCGACAGCAATCTGACTCATATTGCAATATCTTGATGTCGAGCGGGTCACATCTACCGCCGAAAATTCTGCTCGAGACCGGGTCATGGCAAGTTGCAAAGTATTCAACAACTCGTGCTCAGAGATCAGATGGCCGAAGATATTTTCGGCCCTTCTCAGAATTTCCGGGTGGCGGCTGACGAATCCCACGTCTTGCACAGCACCGAGATCGACCACAGAAGCAGGTAGGTTAAGACTATGACGAAATTGCACGAAGGCATTGAGGAAGGTGTTTGCCGCCGCATAGTTGGATTGCCCGTAAAAACCAATGCCTCCGGAAAGTGAACCAAGAAGAACAAAAAGATCTAGGTCGTCCGGAAGCGCATTGTGCAAATTCCATACACCTTGGACCTTGGGGTCCACGGCAGTTTTCCATTTATCAGGAGTCATTTCAAGCACAGCTGTATCTGAGAGCACCATAGCCGTATGGATCATACCAGCTATAGGTCTCCTTGTGTTGCAAACAACGTGCTCCACGTCCTCCTTCTTACTAACATCTCCATTGAAGATCTGCACCGAGCAGCCGAGGGCTTCTATCTCTGTGAAGAAAAGTCGATCGTCTTCCGACTTGCCCCCAGACCGGGAAAGAAAGACAAGATTGCCGGCCCCGTGTGACGCCATCCAGGTGGCAATCGATCTTCCTATACCTCCTAAGCCCCCAATGAGGAGGTAGGAAGCGTCTTTTCGGAATGATACGCTAGGCACAATGGGAGCCAATTCCGGCTCATCGCCTTCGGCTATAGCGAGTGCTACCTTTCCAATATGCTGGCCTCGTCTTAAATGCTGGAAGGCATCCCGCGCCTGCATAGAACCAAACTTTCTCGTGGGGGCAATCGGCTCAATATCGCCGTTTTCATAAAGCCTGATCAATTCCTTCAGCAATCTCTGGATAGTCAAAGGGTCGGTTATCGCTAGATGAGCGAGATCCACACCGATGAAGGAACGGTTGTCATTGAAAGGAGACATCGCCAGATCCCCATTTCCAAGTATGTCTCGTTTTCCGAGCTCAATCATGCAGCCACCGCTGGCAACGCATTTCCATGATGCATGGAGCAGTTCTCCTGATAAACTATTAAGAACGACATCCACGCCTCGTCCCGAAGTGACAGCCATAAGTTGGCTGACAAATTTGCCATCCCGAGAGTTGAACACATGGGATGATTGGATGCCAAACCGGCGTGACAAGAACGCCCTTTTCTCGTCTGTTCCAGCACTTGCATACACCTCTGCCCCAATCCAGCGTGCGACAGTGACTGCGGCAATACCAACGCCACCAGTAGCACTGTGGATCAACACAGACTGCCCCTTTTGCAGGTGGGCTTTGTCAACAAGTGCTCGAAGCACTGTGAGGTATACACAAGGCATAGTGGCAGCTTCCGTTAATCCAAGGCTATCAGGGATTCTTATGCAGTGAGTGCTCATGGTCTGGAATTCCGATGCCATGGTGCTCGTATAGGACGCTAGGGCTATCACCCGGTCCCCGACACTGACATGGCTCACTTCCGAGCCGATTGCGGTCACAATGCCGCTCGCTTCCGCACCAAGAACGGCAGTTTCAGCGCTAATATTGATGATCCCAGAGGCAAGGAGTACGTCTTTGAAGTTCAACCCCGCTGTGTGTACCTTGATTTGCACACCTTGTGGCGGCAGTTCGTAGAGTGTCCTCGGTCTCCATTCCAATGTTTGCAGTAGACCAGGTTTGCCCACAACCAATTCCTTGGCACTGTCAGGAGCAGCCCGGCTCTCGAGCTCCTTCAAAAGTGGAACCCAGTGATATCGGCCTACGTGCACAGATCCTTGCGTATAAGCATACTCCATGTCGGGGTTGAAACCTTCCATTTGCTCATTTTTCCCTTGGATGCTTTCGAAAACCTTGGCGACGGCCCTTAACGAGGAGTTCGATGTGAAATCATCCAGTTCCAAAGTTGCGAAAGTGATGCCAAGCTCCGCTCGAATGGTTCTTGCCATCCCAAGTGACAGTGCAAATCGTGGATCACTTGGGCACACCTGTGCAGGCTTCATAAGCCAGAGTAATTTGGCATTTTTTGACGAATTAAGGAGACTCAAAAAAGTTCGCATGTTTGTCTCGTCGATGTCATCAAATAATGGTTCTTCCAATTCAATGAATGAGATTATGTCATGGTGAGGGGGGATTTGATTTCCCCAGAGAACATGCTGAACCTGGAATCCCATTTCGAGTAATATACTCTCCGCGTCGCGGGCTGCCTGATGGATAGAAGTCTTGGATAGCAGTGAAACCCATCCGGAGATGGCTTTTTGACGTACAGGTCGAGCTATAATAGTTGCATTGACCCTGTATGGGGGCTCTGCATCACTGACCAATGCTTCAATTTGAGAGAGGCCGGCCTTACACAGCCTCGAATTCCATTCCTCTGGAGTAACATATGGCTCTTCCACTCGGCCATCATTTTCTCCCTCCCACCAACCAGGGAGTATTCCCTGTCAAATATCAGCTACTGCAAGGCAAAGACAGACGTGAGAGACGGTATTCGGGGATATCCTGAAGTATTACCATTATGGAGTTGATGACTTTTGAGCCTGTCGTGACTAATTAGAACTGGCACGTCCATCGTGGGTTGCATCATCAACACTTACTGGAGCATAACTCCTGCAGAAAAAGACGGCCATCCGGTCGAAGCAAACTTCGGATATATGTCAATGCCTCATCAAGACTGGGAGTCACGTGCAGGACCTAGCGCTTGTTTAGCTTTATGCATTAGGGTTTGGGTTTGCTCGGAGAATTACGTTGGACGCAATGATCAGATCATAAGTCTCCCTCTCAAGCCCCTGTTGTTCTGGATCTTTTGTAATATCCAGAAGTTGATATGTGACGTTGGGATACTGCTCAAGCCTCTGCTTCGCGCGCGAAAGAAAACCGTTTGAGACGTCTGTGAATGTGTACACCTGATAGAGGGGTTCTCCAAAGTCGGATTGCAAGTACTGCAGTATGTTCTCTGAGAGACTTGCAGTACCGCCTCCGACCTCGAGGATCTTCATTTGTGGTTTCAGGTGACCCATGGCAGAAAATATTGGACGATAGTCCCATGTCTTGCTGCATAGGTTATACATGTTTTCCCACGCATTGTTCTCTAGGAGAATGGACAACGGTTCCAACGAGCCATCGAATAGCCGCGGAAAAGAGTTGTAGATCTTAAGCATCAGCTCAGAGACTATTCGGCTGTCCGTGGACTTGCCTTCATCAACTATCGTCTTGATCATGTGCTCTATGTCTTCAGGCCCTAACGCAAACAGGGCTGCAGAATTTTCCACCAAAGCATTTGATGACTTTGACGCCTTTTCTAACTGACGGATTACCCAATCTCGATATTTGCACAGATGCGGGTGTGCTGGAGAAGCCCTCTCGAGATCCTGCCTGGCATTCAATGCACACAGAAGGAAAAGCGTTTCCCCGAGCACTTGATCCCTTTCGTTCGGCACCTTCACTTTGATCAGCGATTTCGGTTCCTGGAAATTGAGGTCGGGCGCCCACTGCAGGTACGCCACATTGTAGTCTATTGACTTTAGTTCTGATGCTTCAAGTGGGCGTGTACCGAGTCCTTTCATGAATAATACCAGGTGACCATGCACGTATGCATGAGAATTCCCTTTGGCCATCTCCAAAGGATATTCCTGTGTGCTGCTGGAGACTTGGATCGACTTCCCTGCCGCATTGCCAACAAAAATTTCTTCGATTGACGTTGGCAGGCTCATCTGATGCAGTAACCGGAGATCTCCCTTACAGCCAGCCAGAATTAATGACTGGAATATAGAGTCCAAAGTAGTTGGGTGAATGGGATACTGGGATTCGCCAGCTTGCTGCTTGTCAATAACAGTCGCCCGTGCCATGGACTCCACGACGCCGGTAAAAATTCGCCCGATCTTTTTAAAGCTGGGCCCATAGTGAAAGCCAGCCTTGGTGAGACTCTTGTAGAATCGATCTTCATGAACCCTTCTAGGAAGGTCGTAAGGTGTTGGGTCAGGATACGTTGATGTACAGCCTCCGCAAGCTAGACCTGTGCAATGTTTCTTGCAATTGGATCCGTCGTAGGATGAGATAGTGAACCTGTACCACCTCGAATCTGATGTATTTGTCAGACGCTGGCTCTCGAAAACTGTCATGATCTCTGTATATCCTGTGTCGGGGAGCAGCAAGGCTGTATGAAAGACAATGTCTTTCAGCGTATAATCGGATTCTCCCGTCAACTGACGGACAGCCTCCCCTGCCATTGAGATGTATGCAGCGGCAGGAAAGATGACGTCGTGATGGACACAGTGGTCCCTGAGCCAAGGGACATCTCCTAGCTGAAGCATGATCCTCCAAGTCGGAAATAGTTCATTGTCCTCCAATGTGCGCTGGCCAAGAATCTCATGAAATCGCGACTTGGGGAGTCTTGCAGATCTCATAACTCTCGACTCATGCCAAAATTTTCTTTCATAGTGCCACGGATACGTCGGTAGATCGGTTAGAACCATAGCGTCGGTGGAAGTCGTCGGACAGCGGACATCGATACCTTTGGCAAAGAGTTGGCCCACGGCCTCCAAGAAACATTCCGTACTATTCTGCCACCGCTTCAACGTAGGCACGTAAATACATTTACCTTCTAGCGATGAGCTTCGGAGAATCTGCTTTAGTGGAGCGGAGAGCGTCGGATGAGGTCCGATTTCCAGAAACAGATGGTTTTTGCTGTCGTCGGCCAGAAGAGATGTGACAGCCGAAGAGAACAACACTGGGTTTTCTAGATTCGTCTGCCAATATTTTGGGCCTACTGACTCAACCACGGGAAGGGCTGATCCTGTCACAGTTGACCAGAATCCAACAATTGGTGGCTTGGGTCTGATATAGGGGGCAATTGCCTCGTAATAGGTTTTGGCGACCTCAGCCATGTGATCTGACCGCCTTATAAATCACAATGCGCAACTTTGAGGAGCAGGATTTTAATCACTTACGGGAATGGTATGCTGTATCGACGTTCAACCTCCGAAGAGTGACGTCAGGTCGCTCCATTTGCAATGCCGATGTGATGGTCTCGAGGGCCTCCTCGTAACCGGAAAGGGTGACACTAGATGCACTGTTTTCGCACGCAACAGCCACGCCCGGCTTAAGGTACGAGGAGATCTCGTCCCGTCCTAATGCGACAGCCACCATCGCGCCACGTCTGGGCCGATCCTGAAAGATTCGACCTCGGTAGTACGAGACGATAGTAGCCTCTTCTATATTTAGCACACCGGCTGTGTATGCAGCAGCAATCTCGCCGCTGGAGTGACCAACAACATTCGCTGGCGTTACGTTCCACGTTGCTAGAAGGTTGACCAGGGCAACTTGAACCGCAGTGCTGAGCGGCTGAGCATATGGGGCTAGATCAATGTTGCTAGTTTCTTTGGGTTTGAGTAGTTCAGCTAGTAAATTAGTGAGCGAGGGACTTGCGGAGAGTTGGAGGTTTGTGGCTATTATCTATAACTATACCTTCGAGTGTCCATCTAGGGCCGTCTTCCAACCGACTCAGGTACTCGTCCATCCTTTTGATGTCATTGCGGAAGGAGGGATACTGCTCCATCAGCTCCTTCCCCATCTGGGCCCACTGACCGCCTTGTCCGTTGAACACAAAGCAGACCTGACTAGACGGTCTACATGTTGACGGAGAGGAAACCTGAAACGGCTCGAGCCCGGTGGTCACACAATACGCTCGGTACGGCAAATGTTCTCGGTGATTCAAGAGGGTGAGCTCCAGACTTGGAAGCCTAGATGGATACCGCTTAATGTAGTCTTTATGGCTGTCGACAATCCGATCTAGAGATTCCGGGTGGGCCGCGGAGAAAGTTAGGAGCCTGTAGGTGTTCCCGTTCCCACCGTCAATGGTGGCCGGTATAACTCTCGAGCCAGCGAGCTCCAGTCCAAAAGATTCCGCTGAGTCTAAAATGATCTTGGAGGAGGTCAGAAATTAAAACGGTCTTGTGAAAAGTTTCTTGTTAAGCATAGGCACTTTGTCACTCTTACATGGAAGTTGGAACCTCCGATACCAAAACTATTGATACTGATACGTCTTCGGGCGCTGTCCGGCCACGGTATCGCCTGCATGGGCACGGTCAACTTCTTTTCCTCGAAGGGTACTATAAGCAAAGAGCGTTGTTCAGTCAGATCCTCAGACCAGTTGATTGAAATTTTGATCAAAAATTGGGAACTGACTGTCCGGATTTGGTTTGTCGAACTTGATGTTGGGAAGGATAACGCCATTCTCCAGCGAAAGAACTGATTTGATAATGCTGTTGATGGCAGAGGCGCCTTCTGCGTGCCCAAGATTTGGTTTCACCTGGTCATTATTTTCCAGTGAGCCTGACACATCTCACTTATGGTAGAGTTATAACCTGGATCTGTCACTGGTACCTACCGACCCGATATAAACACCTTTCTCACCAAACACTCTTCCTATAGCAGTTGCCTCTATTGAATCTCCGACAGTCGTGCCTGTACCATGGCACTCGACCATCGCAGTCTCGGAGAAATCCACAATACCAGCATTGTGGTAGGCCTTTCGGATGAGCCGTTCATGCGCTTCTGCACTTGGGCGCACCATTGTAGGAGTTCTCCCATCGCTGTTGCTGGCCGTAGCTCGTATCACAGCGCGAATTGGATTCCTATCCCTAATGGCTGCGTCCAGTCGCTTCACAAAAATGGCGTTAACTGCCTCTGCTCGTGCGTATCCGTCTGCCGATGCGTCAAATGTCTTGCAGGATCCTTCAGCAGAAAAAATATTAAGCCCATTTAGCGACTGCTGCATCTTCGGGTTCAGAATGATGTTGGATCCTGCCACTACAGCAGACGTGCAATCTCCTTGTGCGATGGCCTGGCAAGCCAAATGCAGGCAGATACCAGATCCCGAACAGCCTACCTTGACTGTCATACTTTAGAGAGAGTATGAGCCCCACGTTTATGCAGTTTGTACCCAGTCAGACATACCTCGGCCCTTTTAGATCAAACTCGTAGGATATGCGGTTAGCCAATGCCAGGTCCATCGACCCGTTGATTTCATGTGGGTTTACGTCTTGTGGATCAGAATGGTGCAATTGTAGCCAGTCTTCGCGAAAAGACCCAACGTAACAGCCGATCTCTTTTCCTTGCCACTCAGTCTCGCCTGCATTTTGCATTGCTTCCCACACGACCTCCAGCAGTAGGCGCTGCTGGGGATCCAGACGTTCCACTTCGAGAGCAGACATTTTGAACATGGATGTATCGAAGTCAGCCAGATCAATGTCATGCAGCCAGTACCCATGCTTTGTCGGTATGGTGCGCGGTCGGCTGGAAGGATCGTAGAATTTCTCAGCGTCATACCGGGAGTCTCCCGTGTAAGACCGAGCATCTCTTCCGTTCAGGAGGAACTCGTATAGAGTTGTACCGTCACGAACACCACCAGGGAGTCTCATTCCCATTCCACAAATAGCGACTGGAACGGTGGTGGTAGGGCATTCACGACATCTTGATGTGTCTGTAGTCATGGTCGAGGTTGTTATTCACTAGACTGCTATCGTAGTTGGACAGAATAAGGAAGCAAGAAGTTGGTGCCAAAAAGGAAAAATTATCGCGAGGCAGAGGATATGGGCTTGATATAGGTTCGATATCGGAAGACCTTTCAACAGGGTCCCAACAGAACAAATACGTCTGTGAGGGCTGGTGTTGCCTGCCATGCTGTGTTACACGTCGCGCAGTGGTTAAACTTATGAAAAGTTATATGGTTTCGTGCAGCACGCTGGTGAGTTGTCATGTGCTTACATATTGCCTGACAGAGATTCTGTCAACCAGAATATGCACTGTCACTTCTAATATGATGGCTGGCAGATTTCTATGTATTACGCTTCCCAGTCAAGTACCAAATGATGATACTTTTTGGCGGGAGGGCTTTACCTGGACGTGTGCTCCGCTCCGCTCCAACTAAGCCCCCGCCCCAATGAGAGACAGGGGAATATGATTTCTATATGAATCATCATCTGCATTGGGCAGATATACAGGATAAAGGATTCGCAGTTAGAAAGTCGTGCACGCATATTGTACGCGCTATTAGCTTCGCTGGATGAACCAGAGCAGTGTGGTCAAATGAATTCCTGCAATCGACTACTGTGCGACCTACATCAGGCTTTCATAGCGGTGTGAAATCCGACTTTGAAGTAATCAGGCCGTTTCCCCCTTGCTTTGTTGCGGGCAGACCGCCATTCGATCAAACGCATATGTTTATCGATCGTTGACATATTGAGACAGCGATGTCGCTCATCGCAAATAAACCCCATACTTCAATCGTGTTTTGCCTATGCCTGTCTTCACCAAGCAACTCCTGCCTAGGAATTAGAAAATGATAATGGCGTCGACACTTGTTATCCTCTCAATATGCCCAGTGCTTCTTTTTGCCTGTCTACTTTTTCAAGAAGTCTGCCTCTCCATACCAGGCCTACAATCTGCGGTATTGGGTGTTTTGATTTTAGGAAGCGCCCATCTGATTATGAATCCGCCCGCCACCAACGCCTTTCTCAAGGGGACAACGGCCATTATATCGATACTTTGGATCATACGCTTCATGGAACTTATGCTGGCCCATAATGTGGCCAATATGAAAAGGATCCGTCGGCTACCATTCTCCCCTTTCCGTTCCACTCCTGTCTATGCATGGCAATCGCGACCAAAGGAGCTGAGCTACGACCGCATTCTCTGGACGTTGGATCTCGTCACTAATATTCGTGCTGTGGGATGGAGCCATGGTCCTATTAACTACCGTCCGCCGTCGGATAGTCTTCTCGGTCAGAAGAAGAGCCTTTTAGATATGGCGATCTCCAAACAAGGAAGCACGAGAACAACGCACGATTTGAATACCTCCTTTGATAAACCATTGTTTATCCGACAACAGTTGAGACGCATACTATTCGCCTACGCAGTTGTGGACATATATCAAACCTGGTTTCCTTCGCGTCGATGTCAAAGTCTCTCGAAGCTTCTTCAAATTGTACAAGAGGACGTCAATCGACTGGCGTCAGTGACATGTATTTACGCCTTGCTAGATGGCGGTCATGCCCTGATTAGCTTCATCGCTATTGGAGCCCTCGGCAGCGATTGCCTTGGTACAGCAGGGGAGCCATGGGCCTATCCGCCCCTGTTCGGGTCACCAAGCCATTTTCTTGAATTCAATCTTGGAGGTATATATCTACATAGACTTATAACAGGGGAGGAATCTCCCTCTCTTGCATAGGTGGTTACTAACATACTCTACGTTAGATATATGGAGAAATTTCTGGCACGACCTCCTCCGCCAGAGTCAGCTATCAGTCGCAATATGGCTTATCCCCAGAACAATGACAGACCCGTTTCAGAGAAATCTAACGTTGATTTGGGTTTCTTTCGTGATAACAGGGACAGTACATTGCGCTGCCACGTACTCGATCTCACGAGATCCATGGGCCACTGGAAAGCTCTTCTTGTTTTTCCTGGTCCAACCTATCGGCATCACCATGCCCCATTTTCTTTGGAAACTCCGTCAGCAGCCGGGTCTCTTCCAATCCAGAATACCCAGTGCTATAAAAAGGCTGGCGAATCTCGCATACGTTCTCGTCTGGGCCCATTTGACTGTGCCATGGTTGTTGGACGAGCCTGCTTTGCTGGATCTGCTCGCGAACATTCCAATTCCAGGGAGTCTGACCAAACTTTTATGCAAGTATCTAATTAAATAGGTAGTTAAATATTCCCTTTTCTTAAGAAAAAGCAAAAGAAAGGTCGCTCTATTGACGGGTGTTTCGGCATTGAAGGTAAGTTAGGTGGTACAACCGCTGCAGACCGACACTCCTACACTGTCGGTTGCATTTGAATGCTCCTGTTGTAGATGCTTGGCTTGGCAGATGTTATTACTCCTGGAAATATGAAAATAACTAGCATGGGAGGAATAGGATCATATGATGACTTTTCGTCGATTTTTGATTTGCACTATTACTAAATGAAGATGAGGAGGGTGCAGGCGTTGAGCTTCGCTAAAGGTGTAGTTAGAGTAAAAGTCTATATTAAAGAGTCCCAACTTAGCACAGCTAATAGTAGAGATCAGAATTAATTTTATACCTCTCTTTCAGTAAACTGGGCTTGCAAATGACCTCTTGAAGGGGCATCTGAACTAAATTCGTCCCAGAAGGTGTCTCACGCCTCAAGATCCTTCACATTGATAGATATGCGTCTACCTCGTCGGTCCTGCTCGACAAACGACTTCACCTCATATATGAGTAGCTACAATCTCATTATCCATCACCCTAGCTGTCGCCAGCAGCGTATCATCTTGGACCAAGTTGTAGACAGTGGCATTCACGACGCCAAACTATACTGCGAGACCCTGGATCGCCACTGGTTTGTCTCTCCTTCCGCTGCGCCATACATTCCACTGGCTGTCGTGATGTGATACAGGCAGCAGTCTCACACCATTTATAGTAGTGGTCATTTTCCCAACGAAAATAGTTTCATATACGGAGTAGATGTAGATCATTTCCACCCATTGAGGATTTGAGTTCAAATCTCTGTGCTCTGAAAAGCGTTAATTATAAAATGCCATTAAGAGATAAGCTATACTATGCTGGGAGGTTACACTGGTATGAATTGGCTTTTTCAAATGACAGACACGGAGACCAGGGCATGGGGACTGGGTTGCGACTTGAGAGCGTTTGAAATGCTTCGCCCCACTGTGCTTCGGTTCGGCCAGAGCCGCTGCCCCCGCAGCCGCGCGAGGTTGAAACCTTCTAAAAAAAGGGGATAGGCCACGTGCAGTGGATATGGAGAATGACATTGGCCGTCGCAAACACAAGTTGGGGCGGGGGGATTATCTCATTGGCGTGTATGCGGAGCTATCGGTATGTATTATGTCGCTTGAATATATCCAGGCACTGGGCATGTGATACCGGGAGATAGCCCTTGCGTTAGGTCTCCTGCGAGGACAGTCTTTGGTTTCTGAGTGTACTTAATATAGGCACCTGAGAAGTTGGTCATTCAAGGAATCAGCCGCGCTAGATGACGCCGCTCAGCCGGCTGATCCAACGGCAACACCGATGGCGTAATCGCAGTGGTTCGTGGGTTATGTCCTTGCGCATTCCAGTCACATACAACTGGCATGGTGGCTTGTTTCAGCCTCGTGCTTATGCGCAATCGATGCGCTACGGGCACGAAGCCCGGAGGGCCTGGTACTCTTTATAGGCTCATTGACCACTCTCACTATGAAGAGAAGAAAGTGTTCTTCTCTGAATTCCTGGAGTTCAAGCAACGACCATGGCAGGAGATGAAATTCAGCTTGACGTAGAGCCACCACGTACACCTATAAAGGGCCCCGCGCACCAAGCCATACTCAGGGAAACTCAATCACCCCTGGGCAGCGTTTCGAGCGCTAGTGTCATTTCATCCCCTCCCTCACCAGAGGAAAGTCCGTTCAGCCCCACACAGTCAACCGCCACCGATATCACGGATGACTATGGCTGGCAGACTCCGAGCAAAGGCCAAGCATTGTCGACGACGCTAGATACGAACTCTAGCCTCGAGTCCTCCCAAATCGAAGAAGAGAACGACTCCGCGGGTGACGATGATCGAGCCGGGCAGATCGCAGCCTTCAATGCTCCTTGCCCGGCCAAGCCTTTGAAACGGTCGAAGAGAGCAAAGAGCTTGAGACCCCGACTCAGCATCTCTTCTCTACGCTCAGAGGATGCTACCAAGCCGGTGTTAAGCAAGCGAAAGGAGAGTTCAACTTCTCCTGTCGATACTCTTGCATGGGTTTCCGACCAGGGTAAGTTCCGCGAGAGAATAACATGGCCGTCCATAGAGACCGGACAGAAGACACCGAAACGATCTCGGCATATCCGGCTCGAGTATTGGACATCCGAACAGGCGAGCAACATCAATACGGATTTTTGTGCAGAAGGGACATGGCTCCTAAGACCGAGAGCAGCCAGCGAGGTTGGTGGCGCGAGGAAGGTCCATTTGGATTCAGTAGTATCCTGCACGCAGGATCAGAGTGCTCACCAACCTTCCTCCTCCGATTCCATCGTACCGACCATCACCGTTTCCCCTCCAGAGGATGATCAGATTGACTCAGTCCGGATTAAAGACGACGAAGATGACCCACGTAGCAAGAGCAGGTCATCGGGAGACGGCACAGTCAAAGCCGTATTGACTCTCCTCTCAATGCAGAAGACTTCCCCGTCTGCCGAGGCCAAAAATACCACTCGAAAATCGCTTCACACTATTATACCGCTTGAGATTCGGGAGCGTTTGAGAGAGGACAACCAACACTGCCCAGCACAGACAGCGAAGGGCTTACGGTGCAAGATTCGCCACCGAGCCAATGTCCCAATCATTATGCGGTCCTTAGACAGCTTGACTACCATCAAACCCAGTGAAGTGCTCCAATGCTTGAAAAATCTGATTGCTGTTGCTTTATGTCCTTCGGCGCACCAACGTGTCGCCCGAAGAGAGCTAGAAGCCTGGGAAACAGACATCGACAAGCTATGCGATATTCAGCAAGATCCAGGGCACGTTGCCTCGCATACAAATTATCGCCTTTTAGCCCTTGCCGACTGGATCAATACTCTGAGCGGTGGCGAGAGTTTCTCTGAAAGAGTAGAGACAACCTCTCCGCCAACATCTCAAGAGAGCATTCCAAGCAATATTCCGCAAGTGTCTACTCTGATCCAAAAGTTCAAACCCTACGTCACCAAGGCCTCCCTACGTTTGTCCGTTTCGGAAGCCCTCGAAAAGCTTCTGGTCAAGCCCCTTATAAAGAGCGAGATCGAGAGGGTAGGAAGCGTATATGTCTACTGGCAACCAGGGAACTTTGGGCACCTCAAGATCGGCTATTCAACAAAAGAAATTAGCGAGCGTGTAAAGGAATGGAGCAGCAAGTGCCGCAAGCCCATGGAAGTGTACTTTCCAAAACGGGGGAGTGATGAGGAGCATCTACAGGTCAGCCATGTCTGCCGCGTGGAGAAGCTAGTGCACACAGAGTTGAAGAACTGCAGGCGAATTGAAGAAATGTGTTCGGGGTGTAAAGGGAATCATATTGAATGGTTTGAGGTCTCACGACAGCTTGCGATAGATGTGGTGCGCAAGTGGACGGCTTGGATGCGAACATCTCCATATGAGGAGCGATCATGTGGAGGGAAAACTGAGTGGGTATTGAAAGATGAACAAAGGAGGAAAATAAAGGAGCTATCACAACCCCTCCAAGAGATCGCAATTTCCCACCAGGATATGGAGAAGAGAGGGACGAAAGCCTCTCTGCATGCTCAACATCTATCGGTCTCTCGTGCCGGTAGGGCAAGGTCTCCACACATGAGAAGTAAATCAATGTAGCCGCGGCAGCGATTCAAATTTGATCCTATATCTAGTTATCTATACATCTGTTTGACTTATTTTGAATCACTCATATATTGTTGATTTTGTCGCCCTGAAACTGGTATGATTTGATATCCTTAAGTGTGCGTGCCATTTAGTACTCGTAGAGGTAGTAGCACTACAGTTAACAAAGATCAGCGAGTAATCATAAAAATATGTAGATCGTCTCCTAGTGAGTGATCAACATCCAACACAGCTGGCAAGTATTCTGCCACTCATTTATCTCCATATCATCGACCATTGGCTGGTTGTCAGTGCCACGCTACTCGCTAAATGAAGCTTCGTCGGGCCCAGTCGAGCATAGGGCGAGATGCATCCCCTCTGACTGGCGAGGGTACAATGCTACCTCGGAATAGCACCATGCTGCTCCATTCAGAGGCCAATATACAGATTATCAGGCCATCTCTGACATCCTGCACTTCCGCACTCCATCACCCGCCACGCTGTTTTGTGACAGACACAGACACAACCCCGCAGATTGCCTATCTCATCCAGCGATAGGCCTCACTCACGTATATAAGCAGGCAGGCTGCATCGGCAAGTATGATCTGGCAGGACGTGGTCTGTTACTACTACTACTGACTTGACCCCTAATGGCTTGATTCCTTGTTTCCACTGTTTTAGTATAGTGTCGAACTGTTAGAGGGAAACATAGAACTTACGAAGCAGCTCTTCCTTCGGCGGCTCGACATTGAATACCACGCTCAGTAACCTCATGCATTAGCTGCTTCATGGGACGACAAGAATATGTTTGTCCTATCGCAGGGCAACACACTCAGGGGGGCTGCGACACTGTAAACGCCCGAGTTATGGGACCTGGACGACACAGAGATGTTCATGATGACCTTTGAAGAGACCCTGAAGCCAACCTACACCATGGAGATCGTGCTGGCCTCAGCTGAAGCGTTGATGACGGGCACCGCCACGTCAACCATGACGTCAACCACAATGTCAACCACCACCACAACCTCCACCATTCCCTTAAGCATATTACCCTCACCATTAACTTGAATAGGAATGCCTGCTACTCTGATTCCCTTAGACCTAGCTTAAACTAAACATCTTTGGTAGTGGTGAAACCTAGAGTTGCATAACTGAACATCTGAACCACTAAAATCAAATTCAACCCTCACCAAAGCCACAGCGGTTCAAATCCGGTGGCTAGCCTAGGGAAGTGCACTGGTTTCGGTTTCCCTAGGGCGGAACTGATTCAAATTTAGTTAAACCAAGGAGTTTAGGCCGACTAAATTTCGGAGATAAGGTTGTTCGGCGGAAAGCTGACATCGCCAGTGGCCTCTAGTTAAGTTAGTTACCCCCCGCAGACTCAAGTTAATTGGAACTCTCGCTACGTGTCGCGCATGTAATTTAGCAAATATTCTTAGAACTAGTACGGGGTATAAGATGTAGAGATTAATCTGAAACCTTTCTTGTCGTATTAATACTAATTTGTTACTGTTAGATACAAGTGAAGGTGGAACTTCTCAAGAATTAGACATTAGAAGCCAAGCAAAGTATAATAGATCTGTATATGGACTGCGCAATAAGAAGCAACAACAAAATCGATGAATCAGAGGGAATCTAGAAAAGTACAAAAATGAGCAGCCAGTAACTGGCTTGGAACGGCTGGGTAGTAGGTTGATACTAAAGCGATGGGAGCTCTAGAGCGGAAGGGATTCATAGCCCCCCCCACACCCCCCTATAGATGCTGATGATTGACGCTTTGCTCACCATGCTGGAGACCACCCTGGAAGCCGAACATTGGCGCCGGATCAATGCATCAATGCAGTAACTGCTTTCTGCGGCATGAAAGGACCGCCCCACACATCAAACGAAGCCGGCGACCTGTACCTGTTGATGATGAATCTCATCCTGCTTCTAGGCAGCATCAACCCTCTGCAGAGGATGTGACTGGGATTGCATAGCGCCAGGTGATGGAATCTGTGACAGCCATTTCGAGATTTTATATGAGATCTTCGGGGCGACTTAGAATGGGTTGGCCTCTTGGGAGCGGCTATGAGCCGGAACCGACCCGTTCCTGGAGTTGCAGTCGTTGTAGTTGCTGAAGTCAGGCGGAAATGAGTTCAGACATGTTGGTGGATCCTGTTACAGAGCTTTTATTGCTAAGCTACGCACTAGTGTTGTTTAATGTAAGTGGCATCTGAAAGAGGAAATTATTATATCCTGTGGGGTGATTGATGCGTTTTTGTGTACAGTCAGAAAAAGGCATATATAATCTCTCTTTACTTCCTACTTGTATTAATCTCTGCATTCATATTCACACTCAACTTTTCACGCACAATGGTCAATGTTGCTGTGGCTGGAGGTACTGGCGGCGTCGGTCGGACGATTTTGGATATTATCAGTACTACCGACAAGCATCAGGCATTTGTACTCTCACGGAAGGTAAGCTATACAGCTCTGTGGGGCATGAAACGTATATAGTAACTTTTTATAGTGTATTGAGAATGACGACGATGTCATCCAGGTTGACTACAATAACATTGACCAGCTTGTTGCGGTTCTGGAGGCGAAGAACATCCACACCATCATCTGCTGTTTTGCCGTCGAGGGCAATTCCCTTGCTGACTCTCAACTGTGCCTTATCCAAGCGGCTATTCGATCAACGGCTACTCGACGCTTTGTGCCTACGGCATATGCAATTCCATATCCACAGGAGTACGTCTCACTTCTCCTCTCAGGCTTCTACAACTGAGAAATTTTAGGGCTCTTCAAGTCTTGCCTCAACTCAAGGACTACTTTAAAGCAATTGAGTTACTGAAAGAATCGGACTTGCAATGGACAGTCTTCTTAAACGGTATCTTCCTTGACTACTTCGGCCCTCCGGAGCTCAAATCCCATTTGAAGGCAAACGTGTTTGTACTTGACATGAAGAACCATGTTGCTGCAATCCCCGGAGATGGCAACGCTCCTGTTACCTTCACTTACAGCTACGACCTTGCAAGATTTGTGGTCGCCGCACTTGATTTAGAAGAGTGGCAGGAAGAGAGCCGAGTAGTGGGAGATACGGTAACTTGGCATGAGTTTGTTGCGATAGCGGAAGAGATCTGTGGTCAGTATCTTCATCACTGACAACGTCCATACTTGCTGATGCCAGAAGAATGCCCCTTCAAGATTCACTATGATAGTGTCGAGAAGCTGAAGAGATTTCAAATCACCGAGCTGCCAGGCCATCGAGCTCTATACGTCCATTTCCCAAAGAAGGCGTTTCAGTGGTTCATGTCAATTTTTGAGATGTTCACCACTGATAGAACATCCTGTATTGAGAGGAGTGGTTCTTTGAATGAGCGTTTTCCAGAGATTCAGCCGCTCACTGTGCGCCAGATGCTGATACAATATTGGGGTAACAACTGATTGGAATGTGAGAGATGTTCGTTTGCTCGCTCAGTCCGAATGAAATGAAGGTTCAGCATTCTCCTGGCAAACTAGGCTCTACTGGTGTTCTCTTGACAGGTCCATAGCTGAGTAACAGGGTAAAAAGCCTCAAGTATGGGTTCTGGATAGAGTGAGTCATCAGTACAATATATCAGATTAGGAGCGAAGATCATAGAAAGTAGCTAATGTTTATATGAGCTATCATCAGCTATCATCTGGAAATTCAACTGACCCCGAATAAACCCTTATTAACTGGGAGGACTCGGACAGACTATTCATCCGATATCGCTGTCTGCCGCCGCCTTCAACAACTTTCCCATTGTTTTCTCTGCCCATTCAGAAACCCCGCCGTCACCTCCCACATCATGGCTTCAAAGTTATCCACCGGCAATAAAGAAGACATCCAGGGATCTTGCTATTGAGACTACAAACCTGCTTCGGGGTCTCCCGGCCAACTTCGTAGGGACTCAGTTGTGAGTTACACATTGGTTACTGTTCCTAGAGACAGCTTCCTGTTGAGGTAAAAGCCATTAAACATCAAGTGCCATTCCGGATCCTCCCTACAGACGCGTAAATGGCACACAGCTTCCGGAAAGTACAGCAGTAGAATCCATCATTGGTGTCCAATCACCTTCTTGGGTTGATAGAGGTCATCGATGCTCTTCAGCTCCTCGGGGCTAAGCGTGAATGATATAGCTGCAACAGCCTCGTCAACCCTTTCCTTCTTACTCATTCCCAGAATCGGTGCAGTGATAAAGGGTTTGGACAGGGACCAAGCGATTGCAACAGTCGCCATTGATACGCCATGCTGCTTGGTGAGTTTCTCAATCAGTTCGTTGATCTTCTTGTCAGTCTCTGTACTGGTCAGGCCAAGGAAGCCCTGTCCTTGCCCCTCCCCGCGTGTGGTATTGGAAAATTCACGCCAGGGCCTGGCCAGGAAACCCATTGCAACAGGGCTCCAAGGGATACCACCCATTCCGAACTTGCTGCATGCAGGATACATCTCTCGTTCCTCCTCGCGATATATGGCGTTGTGGAGATTCTGCATGGATATGAACTCCGTCCAACCGTGGATGCGAGCGGTATACTGGTACTCGAGGAGCTGATAAGCCCACATTGACGAAGCACCAATATAGCGCACTCTGCCTGACTTGACAACATCATGAAGTGCCTCCATTGTTTCCTTGACAGGAGTTCTAGGATCGAAGCGGTGAATTTGCAACAAGTCGACGTAGGGCAGGTCCAGCCGTCTTAGGCTGGCATCGATGCTCTCAAAGATGTGTTTCCGACTTAGACCATACTGATTGACGTAGCCAGCGTTATCCTTTTCGTCATCTGACATCGCCATCGGCTGCTCCAGGCCTCGACCGACAGGAGCCCACAACTTGGTTGCGATGACAATGTTTTCGCGGCGCCAATTGTATCTCTTGATTGCCTTGCCGAGAATCTCTTCGGACAAGCCATTAGAATAGGCATTTGCAGTGTCAAAAAAATTTAGGCCGGATTCATAACAATGATTAAGCACGGGAAGGGCTTCTTCTTCCGGGATCGACCACTTATAGCGGCCTTCGGGATTTCCGAAACTCATGCACCCCACGCCAATTGGAGCGATGCGTAGACCGCTGGTACCGAGTTGCACGTATTTCATGCTGGCTTCTTCAAGAATGGAGTAGGGGGAAAAAAAGGTGCGAGGCTTGGGATCTCATTTGTTGATTGACGAGATGGATAAGACGGATAGATTATATAGGCTTGGTCCTTGAGTACACGAGCATGACAGCCGGCCTCTCCAGGAGGGCATGCAACTTGATGACAGATCACGCCCGATTGGCTGATTTTTAGAGCTTGCTGAGGAGGTGTACCATGGCTCGCGCATAGCTCCACTCCTTGTCTTGGATAGGCGACTAACTTATTTGGTAGTACCGTTTTGTCATCTATCAAATTGGTTGTGAAGTACGATTCAGCTGGGTTTGAGGTATTGGTATGCTAAGAATTGTGTAATAGAACATTCCACCTCCCCTATTAAATACTGAACGGTGTTTTGTCATGAAAGCAAGCATATCAATCCGGGTTGGTGCGTCTGAGATACACAGATAAAGAAACTTGCCGGGAAACTGTACTTCTCCAGGCCACATTGACCGCGCTGATGGACACAAGGAGACATACAATGTCCCTGGATACTTCATATTGCCCGTACCTGTGGCAGGATGACCCCTCTTTAAGTTTCACAGTGGCTCGGCACGCATCTCAAGCGGTATTAAGCTTCATTGGGAAAGGTCGGGCTGTTTCTGGTCCAAATATCCCGCTGCGTCAAACTGCTTTTCGCCTGTCGGAAGACCGATATTGAATTGTGATAAGGTACAACAGCAGCCGTAAGACAAGACATTACGGTTGGCACTGCGTGTTCCTTCTCTCACATTACGCAAACTGCCCTTGTGTCAATCTGCTAGTCCCGTTAATACTGCGTGGAATGCCGCTAACTTGTGACTGTAGGAAGGCATCTAAACTAGTGATTGAAATGACTCTATGGGAGACCTGGTTCTGATCGCTTTTTCAGACCCCTCAGTCCCGGCTTCGTGTCCTAGGGCGAGGTGCAGGGACTGCTGAGCCCTACTAGATTTGTATGAGCTGTATAGACATCGTAATGATTACAGGACGCCCCAGTTTGACCCATAGTAATATCTTTCATTCGTTGCTGGTTCGAAGCTCTGAGCCAGAACATGACTAGTCTAGACACACACACCTCAAAACTAGCTTTTTCGCAATATCGGATCTATTCTGGGCTCGTAATAGAGGTGGGAGACCGCACGAAAGAATACGCACCATTGGCAGCCAAGAGGAATGACGCTTTGCCCGTCACCTTGGGATCGGGGCCGATGAAGTTGCCGGGAAACCCAACATCAAAGCGGGTTTGGCTCTCAAGGTATTCAATTTGCGCCGCCGTCAATCTCAGACTAAGAGCCTTGATATTTTCTTTCAGATGTTCCACTTTGCGACCGCCCACAAGAGGAAACACATTTGGCGCTTTCGCCATAACATATGCCAGGGCAACCGCGGTTAGAGACTTGATCCCATGTTCATTAGCCACCTTCTCGAGTGCTGCGCTCATGGCAGCCTCTTCTTCACTCTGATCTGAACTCAAGATGCTTCGGAGGCCCTCTCCCCGAGCCTTGCGTTCTTCAACTTCATTCTTCGTTTTGAACTTTCCTCCTCCCAGCACATCCCACGGGGCAAGTGCCATTCCAAAATGGCGTGCCATAGGGATGATTTCCCGTTCAAAGTCGCGTAGCATGACATTCCATCTGCCTTGGTAGATGCTGAAAGGGGTTTTCCCATGAGAGCGCGCATATAGGTTTGCTGCTGCCACAATCCATGCAGGCGTATCCGAAATTCCCAGGTAGAGTACCTTGCCCTGTTCCACCAGGATCTGCAGACTATCCATGACTTCTTCGATCGATGTGGTTTGGTCCCACCAATGGACGTACAAAATGTCAATCCAATCTGTTTGTAGCTTTTTCAGCGACTCACGGACACTCATATGGAGGCTTCGCCTGTGATTGCCACAGTGGTTAGGCGCCTTTCCTTTGCCCAGCTTGTATGACCGAAAGTCTGTTGTGAACTTGGTGGCAATTACCAGCTGATCGCGATTCTTGCGCTCAGTCATCCATTCCCCGATCCAGGTTTCCGATTGTTCGTCTTGGTAGTTGTTTGCCGTATCAATGAAATTTCCGCCGGCTTCATAGAAAGCGTCGAGAAGTTTGAATGACTCTTCTTTGCTCATGGAGCCCATGGAGTCTGCCCACGCATTTCCAATAGACATGGCTCCAAGCTGAAGCGGAGAGACACGGATTCCGGCAGTGGAGGAGAGGATGCGGTACCGTCCCAGCTCAGTGGCTGGCTCGGGAGCTGGGGTCCAAAGATGCGCCATGATCAGTGAATGAAGAGCCGTAGGAAGGACAGCCGTGAAAAGGTAGGGGAAAAACAGAAGTCACGATTCGCACTCTGTGGGCAAAAAGTAATGTGTTTGATGACATGGAACTGAATAGCAGCTATCATACAGTTTATATATCCGTTCCCGAGACTAACTTCTCTGGAGGAACGCAATAGAGTGTAACCGACTAAGTGACATCACCACAGATCGGATGTTACCTCATAGATCAAGTTCATTCCTTTAAGCCACTGTGGTCATTATGCCCTTCTTGACTGATTCAGGTGAAAGATCCCGACGACCAGTCCACACCAGTCAGCACCAGTCCGCCCGTGGATGTCCTAGTCTATGTCATTCGTGAGGTCGACCTTGACGTCTTTGAGAGAGATTTGATATGAGATAGCTTTTCCGAATTCTTGATTGGTCAGTTCTATCGGAGTATAAGCTTTTGGATAAGATGGTGCACTAATTGCTGACCCGCCCCACATGTAGGCCGATCCGGTCGACAGGGACCAAGCTAATTGCTGACTCTCGTAAGTACATTGGTGAGTGTCAGTACTCTACGGGGCTTAGCTGTGACATATCTGGCACACCACAAGGAGCTCGTTACAAACTAAAGGTCTGAAGTAAACTACAGAACGGATTAGCTGAAGACATCAGAGAGTTGGCTACCATTGCACGTTCGTACAAGTTACGTAGTCGTTGAATGCTGAAAACATCCATTTGATGGTAAGGCATTTCTATGTCATCATTTAGCACATATGAATTTTTTTCCCATGTTCAAGGCACAAGGTTCCTAGGGAGGTCGTCCGTCTTCTTGCAAACAACATATAAATGGTCGTCCGATCTGTCACTTATTCTGACTTGGCCTTTACCCCAGCACCACGGAAATTTGACTTTTCTGCTAAAGCCACGTCAGATGATCCAATATGGGAAACAATGGAATGGAATATATCAGGTAAGTACTCCGTTTTGCTCAATGCACTAGACCTGACGGGGGTTTTCGTAACAGGCTGGGGAAGTCAGGCCTCAAGGTGTCTAAGATTGTGCTTGGTTGTATGACATATGGCGATCCAAATTGGCAGCCCTGGATCATGGATGAAGCCGCCGCGCTCCCACTGATTAAGCACGCCTACGATCGCGGTATCAACACCTGGGACGTTGCGGACACTTATTCAAATGGACGTTCCGAGGAAATCCTTGGAGTCGCATTGAAGAAGTATAACATTCCGAGATCCAAAGTTGTTATTATGACGAAATGCTTTCATGAGGTGGACGAGTCACGGGGTCCACTGGACGCCGCTGGTTTTGGCACCAATGACGGTGTGAGGGTTAATCAGGTTGGCCTTTCACGAAAGCATATCTTTGATGCCGTCGAGCGAAGTGTGGAGCGACTAGGCACCTACATCGATGTGTTACAAATCCACCGTCTTGACCGAAACACCGATATGGAAGAGATCATGCGAGCTTTGAATGATGTGATTGTAACTGGGAAAGTGCGTTATATCGGGGCAAGTTCAGTATGTTCTTTTCCTCACGCAGATATAGCAAGAACCTCCGAGAAGGATGCTGACCTGGAGCTAAATAGATGGCTGCTTGGGAGTTTCAGATGCTCCAAAATATAGCTGAGAAACACGGCTGGCACAGATTCATCTCTATGCAAGGATTTTACAATCTGCTATACCGAGAGGAAGAACGTGAAATATTCCCTTACTGCGCTGCCACTGGCGTCGGCCTCCTTCCCTGGTCGCCCCTCGCGGCTGGTGTCTTGGCTCACAGTTGGACGGATCGTTCGGACAAACGCGAGCAGCAAGATGTTTTTCTCAAGGCTCTCTTCAGGAGCAGTGAGGACAAGTCCGCAGAAGAGATCGTTCATCGTGTCAGTGTCCTTGCCCATGAAAAGGGGATAAGCATGGCCCAGGTGGCCACAGCATGGGTGCTCTCTAAGGAAGGCACAGCACCTATCCTGGGCCTTGATTCTGTTGAGAGGATTGACCAAGCTGTTGAAGCAATCAATATTAAGTTAACAGCAGAGGAAATTGCTTTTCTTGAAAAGCCCTATCTCCCCAAATCGGCCATGACATTTTAACCGCGATTATGTACATTCGCGCAGAGGATGTCTGCAGGTGCTTGAGGTGGTTGCGCGAGGTACTATGACTTCCTAATTTCCAGCAGCAGAAAGAAGAGCAATCGAAGCTGGTATCAAGCACTCGTTGCCAGCCTTCTGAGTCCGAGTTCACTGCATCCATGATTGTTCATAGATTTGCTTATATGATGAACGTCTGCCTGCACCTACATCGTACACCAGATCCTTCCCAACTCGTTATATACCACATGATTCTTAACCCAGATCAAATCAAAACCGAACCAAATATAGCGCACTCAGATGAGGTGATCGAACGCGTCGAACACAAAGGAGACCAAGAGATTCTGCGTAGGGTCATACAAATGTCCTTGAATCCCTTCAATGATGAATGGGGCCTCGACAAAGAAGAGGAAGAGCGCTTCTATGGGGACGTTCCCAAGTATAAGAGGGCTATGCTATGTAGCTGCAGCTCGTAGTCAAGTTATGCGCGTTACACATCTCACATCTAGATACCAAGCGTTAACATTAATTCCATACAAACCAAGGCATGGTTGACTTCCGATTCAATCTACGAGATGAGCCCAAAAGGCATCAGGTGCAAATACGAGAATTTGCAGGGTCTCCTACTTCACATTTTATACGCGTTATCAAAAGACCCACGGAAATGAAACTCGGAGAGCATCATAAGGTAGATCATGTCAACCTGCCAGTTGTTGATCTCTAGTCATACAATTTTAGGAGAAAAAGAGAAATTCGTTTCGTGCATGCAAGATAAATGTCATCTGATCCCGTAGGAACTGCAGAAAGATGTTGACTGAGCAGCAATGCAAGGCCTTAGTTAGGGCAAGCGGATGGTACATGGCCGAGCTGCTTGCACTGGTAGACATGCGCTCACCCTTGGGCCTCAGGGCAGTCACGGGAGATGTGGCCAGACTTGCCGCCTAAATATGAGGTTAGTAGATACTCGTATCCACACAAGGCAATCACTGACAGTTGTAGCACTTCATGGTTTGGGGGCAGTTACGACCCATGTGGCCGATGCCACCGCACGAGTGGCAGGTCTGCTG